GTGTGCGCCAAGCAAGGGGAACTCGGCCCACTTATGGCTTCCCATAATTCATGCCTGAACGCTATAAATAGAAAAGGAAGGATTTAAACATTTATGTCTTTCTTTCTGGGAAAAAGTCACATTCATGAGCGCTCGCCTGGAGAAATATAAATCAGGGAGCGGGGGGGAAAGAGAGAGAGAGAGAGAGAGAAGATCAGGGGAAGGAAAGGAGCAGCATGAAAGCTAACGCATGAAAAGAACGGCAACCCGGTGCGAACCCCAGCATGGAGGCCCTTTGCAGAGTTTTGGGACGACGTGCGTCTTCTGCTAACTTGTCCGTTTCATCGAGTCTTTGAAAAGTGGGCTCTTCAATTGCGGCACCCAGGGACGTTTCCCTAGCAAAGCGACAACAAGATGAAATATGGCAAGAGAAACAGGCTGCTCGTGTTTTGTTATCTTGGCTGCTGCACATTTGGGTTCTTAGTGCCGGGGTGCTTGCAAAAGCCATAGTTGTTGATGTTCAGTTCACTGGCGAGTGACTAATTGGAGCCAGCTGACTACGAAGAAGGCCTCCCAAATCAAACATAGTGCTTCAGACAAGATATTATGGGTATTAAGTCAGGCTGCTGCTTTTGGCAGGGATCGTTTGGCGCGGAAGGGGTCGATTTGGTTCCCCCAACGAGATGTTTCTGACTTGCATTTCACACAGGGGCACACGGTTTAGAACAAAACAGCCTGGCCCAATCAGAAACCTTTTTGGCGTGTTGAAAGGCATTTCCCAGAATTCCCCAGCCAGCACGGCCAAAGGGGGTTGAAGGATGATGGGAAATAAGCTCTAGCACAGTGTTTTCCAGACTTGGCCACTTTAACACACGTGGACTTCAACTTCCAGAACTCCACAGCCAGCCATGCCGACTGGGGAATTCTGGGAGTTGAAGTCCAGGTCTTAAAGTGGCCCAGATTGAGAAACTTAGTGGTAGCTTCTGGGGTGAGGTTCTACAGCCCCTCTGGCATCCATCCAAAAACGTTGCATATGGAAATTGGAAGCCAAACCGTCAGACCGCCTCCTCTAAACTCTACCTCTGCTCTTTCCAAATGTATTTCTCAAACTATTTACAAGCCTTATCAATGTTTTGCAGAGTGGACCTTGGACAAGTAGCAGAAAAGAGCAAAGGCAAATCCCAGCCGGAGAACAATTTCCAAATTAGACTAGGAGCAAAAAAGGGGAAAAGTTTCTCATTGCATTCAAAGACTCTTGGAGAGGTGGCCTTGTTTACTGAAAGACGTATTAAAAGTTTTAAAAACTTGATTGGACAAATTTGTGGCCGAGGTGATTCAGCAGCTTATCCTCTGGGCAGGGATGGGCTGATCGTGGAAGGGGGTTATCATTAAGCTTCGTGGCAGGAGATGGTCCAAAAAATGGGACAATAGAGCCCCTTAGCCTGGAAAGAGGCTTTGGAACCCCTTAAAGACTAACTTCAATGTACAATCAAGAGCATCGAACAAAGAAGTGTTTTGTCGTTTGCAAAAGCTAGGGAATTCTGGGACTTGAAGTCCACACCTCTAACAGTGGCCAATTTTGAGAAGACCTGATCTCAGGCATGGTGGTTTGAATGCTAGCGCTCTCCAAATCAAGGCAATTGCTTCAAAGGAAATGTTGCACAGGATGGGAGAATTAGGGGTCCTTGGTGCGGTCTGAACTTGGTTGTTTTCTTGCAGACATTTCATAACTAGGTAACGTCATCGGTATTAGAAGGGAGTGGGGTTTGCAAAGAGGAGGAGGAGGAAGAGGAGGAGTAGAAAGGGGACAAAGGTTTTAGGGTCCTTGGTGCTGTCTGGGCTTGGTTGTTTTCTTGTAGACATTTCATTACCCAACTAGGTAACATCATCAGTATTAGAAAGGAGTGGGGTTTGCAAAGAGGAGGAAGAGGAGAAGGAGGATGAAGGCTGTGGAGTCCTTGGTGGTCTCTGAGCTTGGGTATTTTCTTGCAGATGTTTCATTACCCAACTAGGTAACCATCATCAGTGCTAGAAGGGAGTGGGATTTGCTCTGAGTTTATATTCTAGTGGTTTGTCCTGTCAGTGATAGTTGGGTGGTTTTAGAGGTTATTTGGTTGCGCTGTTTACTGTTGGCTTGTTTGGCAGTTTCTCATTTGGGGGTATTGGTTACTTGATTGTTATTTAATTGTTATTGTTATTTGATTGTTCCTTGATGTTAATCTCGGCGTTAATCTAGGTTCATCTGATTGCTGGTGGAGAATTGCCTTGGTCTTTTTGTCCCCCTTTTGGCTTGTTGAGTGTCTCTTTTGCATAGCCTATAGATATTGGTTATGTCTACGTGCCTGTTGAAGTCTAACTGGTCAGAGTGATTGGCTTCTAGACATTCTCCAGCGTTTTGGCACTGGACTTGGTCTCGGGTGGTCCCAATTTCAAGCTATGGTTAAGTCTGTCCATAGGTTGCAAAATTAAAGAGTTTTCATCAGGCCTTCGGACTGCTAGTTGGTTGTTCATGGATGCCAGTTTTCTGCCTGTTTGTTCTACGCAGTGGCAGAATTAAAATGAATTATATCCAGGTTCAATTTCAGAAGCAGAAAAGCTCCTTTGTGTCCTGGAGCAGAACCAGGGGCTTCCTCTCCATTGATGAGCCGCTGACACGAAAGCAAGGGCATTTGGGGTTAATTTGCATCCTGCAAGTCATTGCAGTTATGGAAGCCTTCATTAAAATGGATCCTGTGTTTGGCCAGGCAATAAAATATGGTTGTTATTCGGCAAGATTAGATGCATGTCAACATTGAGTGGGTGGGCCAGGGATTCTGGCTGAAACTGGCTTGCCAGAGTCATTAGCAAAAGAAAAAAACAGGGAGCAGCCTCGGGGGAGAAAGAAAAGCCATTGAAAGTCATTTGAATGGAGGAATAATTCAAAAGGGATGTGGGGTGTGGGGGAGAGAATTCGTTAGTTCTGATTGTTTTTCTTCGTGACCTTGAGAAATCGACAGCGTGGGTGAAATCGGGCCTCCAGATGCATTCTCTTTCTAACCAACTGGTTTGGTTGGACTTTTGGAACCAGGATTCTGTAGGTCAGAGTTCTCCAAACTTAGCAACTTTAAGACTTGTGGACTTCAGTTCTGGGAGTTGAAGTCCACAAGTCTTAAAGTTGCCAAATTTGGGGACTCTTGCTCTATAGGTGTTTAGGTTACTTGGAGGATGGCTCATGAGAAGTGTAGGCTAACACAACTGGAGATCATCAGGTGGGAATTAGGTGTAGGCCAAGGTTTCCAATCTTGGCCATTGTAAATTATGTGGATTTCAACTCCCAGAATTCCCCAGCCAGCTGTGCTGGCTGGGGAATTCTGGGAGTTGAAGTCCACACATCTTAAAAAGTTGCAAGGTTGGAAAACACTGCACTGGGTTGTAAATAAGATGAGAACTTAATCTTTGGAGGACCCAATGTTCAACTAGAGAAGGTCCCAAGTTCTGGCTAACCCTCGGTCTCCTTTGCTGGTGTGGGAATTCTGGGAGTTGAAGTCCACACAACTTTTGAGTTGCCACCGCTGAGAAACACTGCCCTAGAGACTGAAGTTGGTCGTACCGTCTCTCCCCGAACCTCCCAACACCAGAGACCACAATTGCACCAGATCTTATGAATATATTTTATTGGCTTCGGAAAGCACGGCGGAGTTTCAAAATACGTTTCCCCAAAGATAAAGTATGTACAACAACAGCAAACCAATTCAGTAACACGCACAGAACTTTTGAAAGTCCAACATCAGGACTCAGAGCTTCCAAAATCCTTCTTCTCTTCTGTTTCTTCTTTACCTCCTCCAATTTTTTTTTTAAAAAAATCTCAAGACAGACTTCGGACACACAGTAAGTAATAGTAGCAGCGAGCAGCTCCCCAAGTTATTTTTGGAGAAAAGAAAAAGACCGTTTTCTTTTTAAACACAGGAGAATGCCTTACCAGCAGGGGATTTAAATAGCAAAAAGGGTAGGGACAAAAAAAAGAGAGGGAATCTTTCCAGTCTCAGAGTTGTGAAGTCCAGATGGTCGGTTGGACCGGAGATGAAAAGAGAGACAATTTAGCTTGAGAATTTTTCAAATGTGTATTTCGGTTGGCAGTCAAGCACAGCCGTCCAAGACAAGCCTTCGAGCAGTTGTGTTGTCCCGTTGGACTGTTACAAAATGCTTCGGTCAGCATCTTTGCAGGACTGGTGGTGGGGGAAAGAATATCGGTTCCAGTTTGTGACAGTGATTTCACCCCTTTGGTATGATTATCCAGGCCTGGAATGCCCTCGTGTGCCTCCCGTCCCTCCCCGAAATCAAACCCTGGAATTCTCCTTTCAGTGGAGGATGGAGACACTCTTTTGCAAGAGGAAGCTCCGGAGGGGAGAGGTCTTACTTTTTAAAGAGCGTTTTTGCCTAGATTGTAGTCATATACATTTAAAACAACAGCTGCCTCTTAGCGTTTTTTGGTCCTGGAATGGTCTTAGTGTTAGGTGAATAGACAACCTGTCCCAGGGCAGCTGAATTGGGGCAGCCATTGGTTGACGTTTGAGTTCATTGCTATGTTTTGAAGCCACAGACTCCGTTGCAAACACAACAGAGGCTGGATTCCCCCTCCCTCCCCCAATTACCATACAGTAGGAGAGGGGTGTCAAACTCAAGGCCCGTGGGTTGGATTGTAGTCACATACATTTAAAACAACAGCTGCCTCTTAGCATTTAAAACAACAGCTGCCTCTAAGCACGAAGTGCTTAGATCTGGCCCGCAGGACCACCCTGGAAACTGTGAAGGACCAGCCCGTGGCGACTCTGCCAGCAAAAAGGGAGCTCATCAGGGCTGCACATGGCTCCCCCAAGCTCTGTTTTCACTGGCAGAGGGTTGGAAGCCGTTGCAGCTGGAAACGGAGCTCGGGAAGGCCACGTGTGGCCCTCCCAAGCTCCGTTTCATTGCAGGAAGCTGTCGCAGCCGGGAGCGGAGCTCAGGAGCCCATTTTCGTTGGCAGAGCACTTGGGCCACTACAGGCAACCCCAACACAAGTGACGCTGAGCTGGCCACGTCCACCCCGGGCCCCCTGAGGTCAAATACAACGCTGATGCAGCCCTCAATGCAATCGAGTTTGATACCCCTACAGTAGGACATTTCTCTTTGGATTGAGGCAAGACAGACGCCGAAGCGGGTTCTGGTATCGGCCTCTGAGTTCAGCGGAAAAGAGAGACTGGGAAGGGGGCCGGGGGAAGGAAGGGGGATTTTGCAGGAGGGATATTTGGTTCCCAAGAAAACCAGTCCATTAGTTCTCAAATTCTGGTGGTACGCAAACATGGACAGGTGCTCCTGATAACCCGGGGCCAGAGCTTAAGCCAGGAGCTTGTATCCCAGAGAGATGGAAAGAAGCTGCAGCATGGCGAGAAGGCACGAGCTGGCTTGGGTCACCGAGACCGAACTGTGCGGACCTTTGATGGATGGATGGGAAGGTGCTAAATTATGGTGGAAGGAGGTGGAGTTGATGTGGCGGTGACCATCACTAGGGTGGCTCAGAAGAGTCGGATTGCCGGTGCTGCTGGTTGGCCGGGAGACGGAAGACGATGACATTGAGCTGACCCCGCCTGGAAGGAAAAACGGAAGCAAGGTTAGATGAGCCCTTTTGCTGATGGAGGAAGGGGTTCCTGTGATGCCAACCCAAGCAGCTTGAGAAAACCCTCACAAGGGGCATCAGTTTGAGGTGAGATGGAAGCTCTGTCTGGTTTTGAGGTGCTCTGGAGCTTCAGTTTCAACCCTACTCCTGCCATCTTGACTGTTTTGATGGCCTTTTAAAAATGCACCTGCCTCCCAAGCTTTCTCAGGGAAGGGATAGCAACTGGGCACATCTTTTGTCTACCCTCCTGGACATCTCTGGATTTTGAGGCCGGATGCTAAGAGGATGCGGCTTACAGCCGCCGTGATGTTGGGTCTGCTTCCACTGAATTACATTCTAGCTTTGCTCAGTGCTTTGAATCGCGCCCCGCCCCCGCAAACCAAACCATTGTTGCAAAATATTCCCAAGCTGTTTTTCCCAGGAACGTGCTAAAATTACCTTTTGCCAGAGTCCTGGTCTGGAGCAAGGTGGTTCCGTTGGCAAAAGTGACGAAGGCTCTGTTTGGAAACAGACAAGCAGAAAAGGACATGGTTTGAGAAAAGGAGAGAAGCTGGAAACTTCCACAGGAAGTCGATTCCTTTTTTTTAATTTTCTTTTTGCGCAGAATTTAGGAAAGCAAGAAGCACCGTTTAACTTCGTTTTCAAATGTCTGGCTTCCTATCATGGTAACTAGAACGAGGCAGAATGGTTTAGGAGGGCGAGCTTGATCCTGACCAACGTTCAGTTATTTGTAGGATTTGTACAAAACATTTCCTGGTGATCGGAACCACGGCATTAAAATGCTGGTTAATCATAAGAGGAAGGGAACAATTCCATAGCTGGCAGGTGGTTTAAGCTAGTCTTGGATGGATGGATGGATGGATAGAAGGAAGGAAGGAAGGAGAGATATAGGAAGGGGGAAGGAGGGGAGGAAGGGGGAGGGAGGGAGGGAAGGAGATGGGAATGGAAGGAAGGAATAGAGAATGAGGAAGGAAGGAAGGAGAAACATAGGAACGAGGAAGGAGGGAGGGAAAGAGGGATGGAGGGAGGGAAGGAGATGGGAATGGAAGGAAGGAAATGGGAATTGAAGGAGGGAGGGAAGGAAGGAAGGAAAGAATGGAGAATGAGGAAAAAAGGAAGGATTGATTCACCACCCCTGCCAGGGAACTGGATGAAAAAACACCCAGTAGATCATTGGAGATGCTGAAGGACCAGAATGGCCAGCCTTGAGAAGCTGACAAGAACAGTCCGAAGAGGTGATGGGCCTGTCTTCAGCTTCTGGCTCTTGTAAGATATGCTTCCCTGCCATGTGAAAGTTTTATTTAGCACTTGGGGCTGAAAAATCGGTCTCCGTGTTTTAGCCTTGGCCCTTGGGACTTCCATCTTTCAGTCTCACCTTCCTCACAGGATTATGGCAAAGACTAAAAAAAAAAGGTGTGCGGAAATGTATTTGTGTGCCTCCTGACTCCTTTAAAGACAGAGCATCTGAGCATGTGAAGCCCACGGTCTCCTTCACCCCCGCCTCCAGGACCCTCACCTTATTTCTGCCGATCCAGTGTTGAGGTTGCTTGAGGAAATCCAGCGGGTCCGGATGGCGGACCCTGAGATGTTTTTCTGCACGATGGTCTCATAGGGGCCGCAACGGACCAGCCGCTTCTCCTCTTCCCACAGCCCCTCACCGCTGTTGTCCGAAGGCACAGTTTGCAAGATCACAGAAGAGGCGTTTTCTGCACCAGAGATCGATACTGCCAAGGAAAGGAGGAAGCAGAAGGAGTTTTTATTCGGGGGAAGAAATGCCTTGAGTTGGGGATGAGGTGCCGGAGGAAAATTCCAGGCGGCCTAAGGAATCCAACCTGTCCTTGGATCTCCAGCATTCCGCTGTGGGCTACCTCTGACTCACGAGGTGGGGCTCAGCCCAGGTTGCGTTTCGACCGAGCGTGGCTGGCATTAAAGGGCGAGTTGTGAAATGGGGGAAACACCCATGAGAACCAAGAACAGGCTGAGCGTAGCTGGCCTCAGTGTTCAGTTCTGCAATAGGGGCATAAGCCAGCCAACCTGCCTCAGCGCTCTTTGGAAACCTCCCTCTCCTTACTATCCCAATCTTCCAGCTCTCTTCCGAAGGAGAAGAAGGGTGCTTTGGAATGGATCTAGCAACGTACACTTGTCCTCTCTAATAGCTAACCAATTTTTTTTTTGCCCTGGAAAAGCCTAGACACTTTTCTAGACCAGGAGCTGTTCTTCTTTACCTCCAGAAACCTGCCACGCTGTAATTTCTCCTTTTACAGATCGTACAATGAATTCTGCACTTGCTGGAAAGTCCTTGCCTATCCCCCCAGTGAGAAAAATCAACCCAGTTGCCTTTGGAAATCGTGGATACTCCATCACTGGAGGCTTTTAAGAAGAAACCGGACAGCCATTTGTCCAGCGTGGTTGAGCAGGGGGTTGGACTAGAAGACCTCTGGGATTTCCTTCCCCTCCGCTCCCCGAGGCACCGCAAGCCTCAAACGCCACTTGGGGCAGGCTAAATTCTGGAAAGGTTCTTCTTCTTTTTTAAAAAAAATAAATATTTGGAATGATTCTTCTAGGAATTCTCTGAGGAGCCGCTGGAGAAGAAGGACGGAAATGGGAATTGAAGGAAGGAAGGGAGAGAGGGAGGGAGGGTGGGTGGAAGGAAGGAAGGAAAACAGCATAATAGAATCACAGAGTTTGAAGGGACCCCAGACCATTCCAGACAAATAGGTGTCCAATCTCTTCTTAAAAAGCTCGTAGGTAGGAAGGTAGGTAGGTAGGTAGGTAGGAAGGAAGGAAGGAAGATAGCAATAGACTTATATACTGCTTCACAGCCCTCTCTAAGCAGCAAGGAAGGAAGGAAGGAAGGATTCACCACTCCTACCAAGGAATATGATGAAAAACATCCAGTCGATCACCTGAGATACTGAATCGTAAGGCGGATCCTGAGAGGAAGAGCTGAAATAACGGCGAGAGGACTTTACGTGCCAAAGGACGAAAGGCAAGGCAGATAGAGAGGCCGCAGATGTGAAATATGCACATACCTGTATAGACGTTATTGGGCGTATAATCGCGGGGCTCCACGTCTAGCCGGAAGGAGCCCCGTGGCACCATCTTCCGGACCACCTCGCAGGGGGGCTGTTGGCAGAAAGCCGGCCAAACCAGCAGAGCCCCCAGCAGGAAGAGGGGCATGGTGAGCTTGAGCCAAGCCATCTTTTCCAAGTCTTCTCTTCTGGCCTTCTCTTCCTCCTCTGCTCCTCCGTAGGCTTCCCTTGGTCTGCCCTGGAAAACTTTGGCAGGCGGGCCATCAGCCAAGCTCTTATATACTCTGTAGGTTGCACATTCCTTCCCTCACACACCCTCCCCGGTGGGAGGTTTCCGATGGTGACACATTGGGGTGCTTTACCTGCCCGGGTTGTTGCTGAACGAAACTCACCTGACCTAGGAGAGTGTTGGGAACCCTCTCCCCCTGTGGGTGGGGGGGAAGGGGAGGGGGCAAGTAATGACGGCTGAGATTGCCTCCCGGGCGTGGTCTTTGGAAGGGAGAAGAGCAGCTTCCTCGGCTTGTCCTCCCAAGCAACCCAGCTGGTTTTTTCCCCCCAAGAGTTTCTATTTTGGTTTCTGTTACCTGGGTCTGCATCTCCAGAGTGGAAAGATCTCCAGGTGGATGGGGAAATCCAGCCCTTTTTTCTTGCCTCCCTCCAGGGGAAGGGAGGATATTTGCCAAGGAACGTAGCCAGGGGGTCTTCCAAGAGGAATTCCATAGAAGCACCTCTTCTCCCCCCCCCCAAATTTACACTTTTTTAGGAAAGGGCACCCCCCCCCCCTGCCAGCCACAGGCAAAGTGTACCGCAGGGGTCTCCAAACTTGACAACTTTAAGACTGGTGGATTTCAACTCCCAGAGAATTCTCTGGCTGGAGAATTCTGGGAGTTGAAATCCACCAGTCTTAAAGTTGCCAAGTTTGGAGACCTTTGGTTTACTCCCTTGAGGGCTTCTAGCCTCACCCCTCCCGGAAGCGAAATATAAGCAGCATTTCTTAAGATTGAGATTCCATCATGAAAAAGGCTTACCTTTTGGGCATGCTAAACACACATACACACATATCATCATCATCATCATTATTAGGGGAATAATAAAAAAAAGGACTCATGCCTGATAAGGAACCTTAAAGGCTCACATTCCTTAAAATCAAGGCAATTCCGATAGAACAATCTCCTTCGGGGTTAAAAAGCCAACCAGGGAAGACAATGGACAAGCGGGTCACTACGCAAGAAGTTATTTGCACTGCAAATTCCAATTTGCTTGCAAGCCTTCGGCCTTCGGGAAGGGGAACGACTCGGCCTGCTCCCGTTCTCCTTTCATGCCTGGGGAGGTTCAGGCTGCTTTTGATTGCCTTTACAGGCCAGTTGCTCTCCAGCTCCCATCAAGCCCAACATGGGTACTGTAGTCCCCCCCCAAAAAATCTGGACGTCAAGGTTGCAGGAGATTGGATCGGTCCAGGGTGCTGCAATGAAGCCAAGTTGGTTGGACCAGGCTGATGTTCAAATGTTGTGGTGCCTTTCGGAAATAATCTTAGTGACTGGAAGTGCTTTATAGAGTTGTTGTTGAAAAGAGAAATAAATAACTTGGGATTTATGGGTCTGATGGTTAGCATAGCGGGAGAAGGGATGAGAGAGAGAGAGAGAGAGAGAGAGAGAGAGAGAGAGAGAGAG